TAGACTATTTTTTAGAACAACTTTAGGTTTACAGAAAAAAATTGGCAGAAAGTACAGAGTTCCCATACAGACCATTGTCCAATACAAATACGGTTTCCCTATTAACATCTTGAATTTATTTGGTACTTTGTTAGAACTGGTGAACCAATATTGATACATTTTTATTTTTTTGAGACAGAGTCTTCCTCTGTCATCCAGGCTGGAACACAGTGGCCTGATGTTGGCTTACTGCAACCTCTGCATCCTGGGTTCAAGCAATTCTCCTGCCTCAGCCTCCCAAATAGCTGGGATTACAGGCACCCGCCACCACACCCAGCTAATTTTTCAGTTTTTAGTGGAGATGGTGTTCCACCACATTGGTCAGTCTGGTCTCTAACTACTGACCTCAGGTGATCCTTCTGCCTTGGCCTTCCTAAGTGCTGGAATTACAGACACGAGCCACAACACTCGACCTGATACATTATTATTAACTAAAGTTCACAGTTTGCATTCCAGTTCACTCTTTGTGTTGTATAGTTCTATGGGTTTTGACAAATGCACACTGTCACGCATTGGCCATGACAATATTACTCACTGCCCTAAAAATCCATGGGCTCTCTACCCTTCCATTCTTCCTTCCTCCTCCTCAATCCTTTGTAACCAGTTATCTTTTTATTATTGCTATTGTTTTGCCTTTTCCAGGATGTCATATAGATGGAACCATACAGTATGTAGCTTTTTCAGAATGGCATTTTTTGTTTAGCAGGAGGCATTTAGGTTCCTTTGTATCTTTTTGTGGTTTCATAGCTCAATTATTTTATTACTAAATAATATTCTGTCATATGGATGCACCATTGTTAATCCATTCTTATTGAAGGATACCTTGGTTTCTTCCCATTTTTGGTAGTTAAAAACATTCATTTGCAGGTTTGTGTGTAGACAAAAGTTTTCAAATCATTTAGTTAAATACCAAGGAGCATGTTTGCTAGATTATATGGTATGAATATGGACAGTTTTGTAAGAAACTATCAAACAGTCTTCCAAAGTGGCTGTACCATTTTGCATTCCCACCAGCAATGGATGAGAGTTCCTGTTGCCTCATGTATTTGCCAGCATTTGGTGGTGTCAGTGTTCGGGATTTTACCCATTCTAGTAGGTATGCAGTGGTATCTCACTGTTGTTTTAATTTACAGTTCCCTTGGAACTCAGCCTACCAGTGGTCCAGAGATATTAACATTCCTTTCCCATTAACTGTGTGTTGTTGATCACTGCATGCTCAGGGCAAGGCAAAGTATTTTAGGGATGGAGTAAGTGCCCAGTGATGGCACGTGGAATGAGTTGGAGTGGCATGGAATGTGATAGAATGCGATGACAGGGAAGGGAAGGGCATGGAATGGTACAGAATGGAATGGCATGGCACAGAATGGAATGGAATGGAATGGAATGGAATGGAATGGAATGGAATGGAATGGAATGGAAGAGACCACTGGGACAGAAGTGGCGTTCCCACTGGAAACTACACAAGTCTGGTTACTGGCAGCTGACCACATGTCAAGGTTTTTCCAATCCTGGAGAGGCCCCCCTTGAAGAGGAAAGGAATGATACTGCAAAGGTCAGAGGAAACGGTGGTTGGGGTCAGTTTTGCTTCCATTCCCAGGAATTTCTGAACAATTCTGTATTTCCTAAGCAGCATCCACCATGGGCTGCAAATTTGTCTGAGCTCATCCTGGGTCCTGCTGGGACACATCCCCTTGGCATCAGTTTGCACAATTGAGGACCCAGTAGGCTGCACAGGTCTGATTCAAAGACAAGAGACTTAGTCCCAATGTACTGATGGCAATTAGGGTCTCTGTCTCCTCCTCTTCTTCTTTTTTTTTTTTGAGACAAAGTCTCACTCTGTTCACCCAGGCTGGAGTGCAGTGACACGATATTGGCACCTGCAACCTCCACATCCTGGGTCCAAGTGATTCTCCTGCCTCAGCCTCCCGAGTAGCTGGGACTACAGGTGCCCACCACCATGCCTGGCTAATTTTTTGTATCTTTTTAGTAGAGACAGGGTTTCACTATGTTGACCAGGATGGTCTTGATCTCCTGACCTCTTGATCCACCCGCCTCGGCCTCCCAAAGTGCTGGGATTACAGGCGTGAGCCAGCGCACCCGGCCTCTTCTTCTTTATATAGTCTATGACCTCTGTTTTGCCCATAGTCAGCTTCTACACAAATTCAACCTCATTCATCGATTTCCATAAGAAATCAAATCAAACCAAGAATTGTATGTTTTTTAGTGATATTAGTGAAGATGAATCGCACTGGGCAACACATGAGCTCCCACTACCTTGTTAGCTTATTTTTCCTCCCTTTTACTCTCCCCTTTTCTTCTCCAAGATAAAATAAAAACATAAATATATAAAGTTCATTATTTTTTCTTATACAAAACAGCTTTGACTATATCTTAGAAACCCTGGCACCAGAGAACAGCTATGCTTCAAAGGAACTGACTATACCAGTGAGCTTATCAAGGCATTTTCCTCCAAAACGCAAGTCTCTTCCTAAGATAAATTGTTCTACCAGCTAATAAGGGGATAACAATTTTTTTTTTCATCTCATTGTGCCTGGAAACTGCAGCTGAGTAGAGCAAGGCATCTGTCACACAGACCATCTCCTGGTCCAGACCCCAGGTGCTCATGGCTGAATTCTGCAATAAAAGAGCAAGTCAAACCTCAGAGAGTTTTTTCATTGCTATCTCTGCAGGGCTCTGAGAACACAGGCACCTATCACATTGGTCCCAGCAGCTTTGCAATGGTGGGCGATAGTGCCAGAGGCTTCAGAAGTGCTGCATAGTGACTCCTGGCTCAGATATCTAGGCCTTCAAATCAGACATCAGCTGGTGACAGCCACCTTGGTGACCTAGGTGAAGGATCCATTCCTAGATGATGCTTTTGGGGTTGGCCCAATCTGGCATCAGCCAATGAACAGGAAGACTACAGATGCCACTGCATAGCAAAGAGAACTAATGCAGAGAGTTCACATGAGATACCCTCACCTCTGGGACACCTTGAATGCTCTGAAAGGAATTTGAGTATGAAAAAGATTAACTACCCTACATGCTGAGCAGGTGATAGTTGGGTGACCTAACAGGGGGCTCTGCATCAGATTTCTGTGCCAAATGGGAAGGACATTTTCATTGTATGGAAAATCTTTCCACACAGTGAAAGATGTGCTGTCAATCTGTCTTCCACAGCACATGGCAGTGTGGCTTGTCTTGCTCACGATTATTTAATAATAACTTCAAAGTGTGCAGGAAAGACAGCTTGGCTAAGCTGGCCCTCCCTTCTCTTCCCTAGTGCTCTCCCATCTTCCTTTCCATGTCCTCTCTACAGGACACAGATATGGGGACAATGTTACACAGGTGTGTTTTGCTGATCCAAGAAAGGGCAGAGACTGCTCCATCTCTGGTAAAGATACATCAAACACCGCATGTTCTCACTCATAAGCGGGTGTTGAACAACAAGAACACATGGACACAGGGAGGGGAGCACTACACACTGGGGTTGTTGAGGGGAAATAGGGGAGGGACGGGGTGAGTGGGGAGGTGGGGAGAGATAGCATGGGGAGAAATGCCAGATATAGGTGAAGGGGAGGAAGGCAGCAAATCACGCTGCCATGTGTGTACCTATGGAACAATCTTGCATGTTCTTCACAGGTACCCCAAAACCTAAAATGCAATAATAATAAAAAAAAATATACGCCTACCTTTCCTTAACAGCTAGCTTATTCAACCCTAAGGCCTTTCCCAGGTATTCTTGGCCTCTCAGGCAACTCAGTGCATACACATAAGCTAAGATCTAAGCGCCTGTGGCTAACTCATGCTAGAATCCAATTTTGTAAAGTTAAAAGGCCTGCCGGGCCCGGTGGCTCACGCCTGTAATCCCAGCACTTTGGGAGGCCGAGGCGGGTGGATCACGAGGTCAAGAAATCGAGACCATCCTGGTCAACATGGTGAAACCCCGTCTCTACTAAAAATGCAAAAAATCAGCTGGGCATGGTGGCGCGTGCCTGTAATCCCAGCTACTCAGGAGGCTGAGGCAGGAGAATTGCCTGAACCCAGGAGGCGGAGGTTGCGGTGAGCCGAGATCGCGCCATTGCACTCCAGCCTGGGTAACAAGAGCGAAACTCCGTCTCAAAAAAAAAAAAAAAAAAGTTAAAAGGCCTGCTCCCATAAATCTCAGAGCGAGCCAGTGGCTTTACAGCTTGCTAGATAGGTCAATCATTTTTACGATGTGTGAGCTAGAGCCCATCTCCCATCGACTCCGCACTCATTGTATTGTCATCAATATTCTTCCAATCTCCTTAAGTTGTAAATAGATGAACCACAAATTGGGGAAGTTAAGATGTGAACTGAAAGGGAGTTAAGAATTCAGTGCTGTTGAAAGCTTTACTTGATGTCAATACTAATTTGTTTCATCTAGTGATCTGCATGGGAATAAGCATAAAGACAAAAGGGAAGTTTGTGTTAACGGTGATAATTCTTAAACTTGAGCTCATGGAGACTAGCAGCTTCCATAGAGACCCTTTTGTCTGTGACGGGACTCCGGGTTGTTTAAGCATTACCTCCAGCCAGAGGCAGCCAGATACTGTTATCACTCTTGCTGTTTATTATTACTGGTGCCTGCTAAAAGACAGGGCATGAGAGTATCTTTGGCCTTATCCTTTTAACCAGTTGGGTGCTGGTCAGGTTCCATTTTCAGCTCTGTGTTGGACTTGTGAGTTAATGTGCATAACTCCTACCCTAATGCCTAGATTTTTCAGGAATTTTGTATTTAATGTTGCTGAACGCAGATGGGAGCTTTGATTTTACCACTGCTTGACTTTCTGATTCTCTGAGTAATGTGAACAGTAAAAGACAATCCACACATGCATTATGAACAAAGCTCCTCCTGTCTCTACCTTGGTTTCCAACAATTTGTCTCAAATGCGAATTCGGGCATCCACGAGTTCTACAAGAATTTTTAAATTCTGTACTTTTTTTTTTTTTTTTTTTTTCCAGTTTCCAAAGGCTTTACTGGCAAATATGCTCTACAAAAGAATGATCACTCCTGTTGCTTCTAAGTCAGTGGAATGAAGAGCTGTGTCCAGGGACACACCAAGCCGGGCTGAAGGAGACTGCTGCTGTGTCCACCTCTTATTCATAGACCCAGTCATGAGCACAAGACTTGTAGTCAACCAGTTCTTCAGGCTTAAACCATAGGCTGATTTCTTTTTCAGCACTTTTTACTGAGTCACTGCCATGAATGATGTTCCTGCCAACCTGAATGCAGAAGTCCCCACGAATGGTGCCTGGCTTAGAATCTGCTGGATTGGTCTCCCCAAGCATCACTCGACCTGTCTTCACCACATTCAACCCCTCCCAGACCATGGCCACGACTGGCCCTGAGTTCATGTACTTCACCAGCCCAGGGAAGAATGGGCGGTCTTTCAGGTCAATGTAATGCTGCTTCAGGTGTTCCTCAGAGGCCCGGAGGAACTTCATGGCCACGAGGCGGAACCCCTTCTGCTCGAAGCGCTTGATGATCTCGCCCACCAGGCCGCGCTGCACGCCGTCCGGCTTGATGGCGATGAAGGTGCGCTCGAGGTTGGCCATGGTCCGGGAAGCTGGCGGGGCCAGGCGGCGGCGCTGCAGTGCCGGAAATTCTGTACTTTTATTTTTATGGATAATCTAAAACAATTTATCACTACAGGCATACCTTGGAGATTTTGCCGGTTTAGTTCCGGACTATGATAAGAAAGCAAACATCACAATAAAGCAAGTCACACAAGTTGTTTGGCTTCCCTGTGCATGCATATAAATGTTACGTTTGCACTATATTATAGTCTATTAAATGCACAATAATGTTATATCTAAAAACTGTATGTACATTAATTAAAATACTTTATTGCTAAAAAAAAAGTCACGAATCATCTGAGCCTTCTTTTTGCTCTAGAAGGCCTTATCTAGATGTTGATGGCTGCTGACTGAAAACTCAGCAGTTTTCAGTGGTTGCTGAAAACTGGGATGGTTGTGGCAATTTCTTAAAACAAGACAACAATGAAATTTGCTGCATTGATTGGCTCTTTCTGTCATGAAAGATTTCTCTCTAGCATGCTGTGCTGTTTGATAGCATCTTACCAATAGTAGAAGTTCTTTCAAAACTGAAGTCAGTCTTTTCAAACCCTGTCATTGTTTGACCAACTAAGTTTATGAATATTCTAAATCCTTTGTTATCATTTCAACAATGCTCACAATGTTTCTACTCTTAGGGTGGTCCAAAAGTAATTGTGGTTTTTACCATAAAAGTAAGGGCAAAAACCGCAGTGACTTTTGGGCCAGACTAATACTTCCCCAGGAATAGATTCCATCTCAAAAAATTACTTTCACTGCTATTCATAAGAAGCAACTCCTCATCCATTCAAATTTTATTATGAGATTGTAGCATTTCAGTCACATTTTTAGGCTCCACTTCTAACTGTCTAAGTTCATTTGCTATTTCTACTACATCTGCAGTGACTTCCTTCATTGAAGTCTTGAATCACTCAAAGTTGGAATCAACTTCTTTCAAATTCTTGTTTATGTTGATATTTTTGACCTGCTCCCTTGAATTACAAGTGGTCTTAATGGTAGCTAGAATGATGAATTCTTTCCAGAAGGTTTTCAATTTACTTTGCCCTGATCCATTAGAGAAATATTATCTATGGCAACTATAGCCTTATGAAATGTCTCTTTTCTTTTTACTTTCATTTTTCTTTTTGAGACAGAGTCTTGCTCTGTCACCCAGGCTGGAATGCAATGGTGTGATCTCGGTTCACTGCAACCTCCACCTCCCAGGTTCAAGTGATTATCCCTGCCTCAGCCTCCTGAGTAGCTGGGATTACAGGTGCCCACCACTACACCCAGCGAATTTTTGTATTTTTAGTAGAGACAGCATTTCGACATGTTAACCAGGCTGGTCTTTGACTCCTCAGGTAATCCACCCACTTCAGCCTCCCAAAGTGCTGGGATAACAGGCGTGAGCCACTGTGCCTGGCCAAATGTGTTTCTTAAAGAATAAAATTTGAAGGTCAAAATGATTCTTCAATCCATGGCTGCAGAATGCCTGTTGTGTTAGCAGGCATGAAAACAACATTAATCTCCTTCTGCATTTTTATCAGAGCTCTCAGGTGATTAGGTGCATTGTCAATGAACAGTAATATTTTAAAAAGAATCTTTTTTTTTTTCCTGAGCAGTAGGTCTCAACAGTGGGCTTAAAATATTCAGTAAACCGTGCTATAAACATATATGTCATCCAGGCCTTGTTGCTTTACTTACAGAGCACAGTCAGAGTAGATTTAGCATAATTCTTAAGGGCTCTAGAATTTTCAGAATGGTCAATTAGCATTGGCTTCAACTTCAACTAAAGTCAGCACCTGAATTAGCACTTGACAAAATTGTCAGCCTGTTTTTTTTGTAAGTCTGAAGGTAGGGATTGACTTCTTCTCTCTAGTCATGAAAGTCCTAGATGACATCTTCTAATAGAAGGCTGTGTCACCTGCATGGAAACTTTGTTGTTTAGTGTCATCACCTCCATTAATGATCTTAGCCAGATCTCCTGGATCACTTGCTGTAGCTTCTAGGTCAGCACTTGTTGTTTCACCTTGCACTTTTATGTTATGGAGATGGCTTCTTTTCTCAAACCTCATGAACCAACGTCTGCTATCTTGAAATTTTTCTTTTGCAGCTTCCTCACCTCTATCAGCCTTCATAGAATTGAAAAGAGTTAGGGCCTTGCTCTGGATTAGGTTTTGGCTTAAAGGAATGTTGTGACTGGTTTGATCTGCTATGCAAACCACTCAGACTTTCTTTATCTCAACAATAGGGCTGTTTTGCTTTCTTACAACTTGTCTGTTTACTGGAGTAGCACTTACAATTTCCTTCAAGAACTTTTCCTTTGCATTCACAACTTCGCTAGCTATTTGGTACAAGAGACCTACCTTTTAGCCTATCTTGGCTTTCGATATGCCTTCCTCACTAAGCTTATCTCAGTTTCGACTTAAAGTGAGAGATGTACAATCTTGCTTTCACTTGAACACTTAGAAACTATTGTGGGGTTATTAAATGGCCTCATTTCAATACTGTTGTGTCTCAGGGATAGAAAGCCCTGAGGAGAGAGAGAGAGTCAAGGAACAGCTGGTCAGTGGAACAGTCAGAACACATACATTATCAATTAAATTTGCTGCATAATGTGGGCACAGTTCATGACATTCTAAAACAATGACCGTAGTGACACCAACGATCACTCATCACAAGTCACCCTAATAATAGATCTAATAATACTGGAAAAAGTTTGAAATATTGAGAATTACTAAAATGTTATGCAGAGACCCAAAGTGAGCACATGCTGTTGGAAAACTGGCACCAATAGACTTGCCTATGCAGTATAGGCACAAACCTTCAATTTATAAACATCGCAGTATCCATGGAGCACAATGAAACAAGGCACAATGAAATGAGGTGTGCCTGTGTAATGATTAATCTCTGCCACAGTGAATTTATAGCTTAAAGCTTTGTGCATAGAATCAGATACCAAATTTAAGTAAGTTTTAAAAAATATGATTAATTATTAGCATAATTCGCAAAATTGAGCTAAATTATAGTATTAGATACATTATTACATTTCCAGATTTTGATGTTGATTGTTGTTATAGAAGAGAAAATTCCTGTTCTTAAGAAATAGACATTGGAATATTTGTGAATAGGAATAAAGGCATGATGTCTGCAAACTACTATCAGATGGTTCAATGAATAAGTGTGTGTAGATAGATAGATGAACAAAGGAGACAAAAGAACACCTGGTGAATCTCAGAAAAGGCTATATAGAAGTTATTTGTACATTTTGTAACTTTTTTGTAAATGTGAAATCACAACAAAAATTTTTAATGACATGACTATCAGGACCTCAACCCTAAAAGTATTCTTAGAGTGTAGAAAAGATGGATTTTTAAAAATTTATTTGAAAATGATTCCAAGTGAGACACACACTAATAAATCCTCTACTGGACCACCAGATTGATCATCAGATGGAGTGAGTTTTAAAACCCTAATCATTTTACTTTCCTGCTTGGAAATTTTCTACTGGCTCCTAAATAACCATGTTCCAAGGGCCTAGTCTGGCCTGCAAGGTCCTCTGCGACACAGCCTCAGGCAAAGCCCAGCTGCAGCTACTCCTTGCTTGATGTTTAAAAATACCAACGACTTGTGGCTTCCAGTGAGCCCTTCATTGGCTCAGTCTGCTGTGACTTTGGCCAGGTCAGTTGCTTTGTCCAAATTGCCATTCCCTAACTCCCTTGCCTCACCTACCCTTCATTCTTTACCTGAGTAACTGTTCATCATTTGTTAAAATCAAAATCATAGAGTGTCTCCTCCAGGAAGCCTTCCTTGAATCCTCCCAGGCTAAGGGTGTCCACTTTGGGTTCCCACAGGTAACCTCCATCATTGTCCTCTTACTGATGTCTGTGTCTTCATCAGACTGTGAACCCAAAGAAGGCAGAGAAGTCTTCCCCCTCTCTGTGTCCTCAACACCTAGCACAGTGACCAGGAACAGAGGGGACATCTGGGGACCTGAGGAGTAGAGAAGCCTATCAGATGGCAGGGGCGGGAGGCAGTGGTCCTGTCGTGTACATGGAGACTGTGACTGCTTTGTGAGGGGCGAGTTGAAAAGCTCCAAGAGAATCTGCCTTCCTCAAGCGTTTCCCATACTTTTTTGCAGCCATGTTTGAAATTTCCACGTTAGCGCCTGTCTTAGTCTGTTTGTGTTGTTATAAAGGAAAGCCTGAGCAATTTATAAAGAAAAGAGGATTATTCAGCTCCTGGTTCTGCAGGCTGTATAAGAAGCAGGTGACAGCATCTGCTCCTAGTAAGGGCTTCAGGAAGCTTCCATTCATAGGGAAAGGGGAGCAGGCATCATGTAGTAAGGAAGGAAGAGAGAGGGGAGGGGATGCCAGGCAGATCTCCTGAGAAACAGAACAAGAACTCACTCATTACAAGCAGCCATCCATACTGTAAATGGCTTACAGTGCCAAGCCATTTATAAGGGATCCTCCCCTACAACCCAAACACCTCCCATTAGGTCCCACCTCCAACACGGGGGATCAAATTTCAACATGTAGTTTGGAGGGACAAACATACAAACTGTATCAGCATCCCTTATACTCTCTCTAGAAAGAGAAAGTTTAACTGCACGTGTGTCTTCTGGTACGGGTAACCTGTCAACATGCATTACTATAACGGCGTAGACTATTATCATTAATGAGTATCCTATGTGATGTAAGTTCCTTGAGGATCTCAACTGTACATATATTTTTATTTTTTCTAGCCCAGCAAAGTTCCTGAACATAGTAAGTGCTCAATAAAAGTATTTTGAATAAGTAAATGTATGGACAACTTTCACACCTGTTAGCCCATTAAATACTCACATAGGAAGCCCAAAACCAGGAGAGACCGTGACTGTAAACCTTCTGACACCATTTACCCAAGAGGTAGGCTATATGGAGTCAGAAGAGACAGCCCTAGATGACACAGTTGTCTCATGGGATTCATGTTCACTCATGATTTGGGGCTAGTGAGAACAAACTTTTTGAAGAAGGAAAATGATGGATTTACCTGAG